AATGTAAGAGAAATTACATATTCATTTAATAAATAACGAAAAATACTTAAATTTTGTTGTTTATTTTATTTTATTTCACATACAAATTTTTTGAAAATATATTAGGAATGAGTTAAATGTTATTTATATGCGAAGTAAGTTTATAGGAATAGTTAGGCTATAATATAGTTTTTAGTGTGTAAAAGTAGGTGTTTTTTTTGCTGTAAATAGTTTTTATAGCGTAGGTTAAAACTTGATATAATTCTATATTTATAGTATTTATATTTGTATTAAACGATTGATCAATTTGAAATAACCTTAATTAAGTTAACATTCGTTGTTTAAGTTTCATTAGATAGGTTTTTATATATGTTTTTTTTTGTAAGTTTGAGTTTTTTTTTGTTTCATTAGGCAACCGCGTGAGATTTGTTTTTTTTTGTTTTTTTTATTTTTCGTTTTTGCATCCATTTTTAACTATTTTTAGTTTGAACTCGTTAAGATTTAGGGTTTATCCAACTATTTTGATCTTTAAAACAATAAGTCATAAAAAAACATAAAAACCTTATAAACAAAAAAACCTATATGATAATAACCTAAATCAAAAATCAAAAATAAATGATGGCTGCGTGGTTTGAACCCACGATCTTGTATGCTTAATTAGACAACTTATACCACTTGGCTAAAGTATATTTAATTGTTTGTAATCATCTTACCCAGACTATAAGTTTTTAAAAAATACCTATGGACCCACAAAACTGCTGACGTGGCGCATTATGGAGCCTAGAAAGTGTACTATTATAATATAGATTATTTACCAAGCAATTTTTCGCGGTCAAAATCTCACTTTAAAAATTAAAGCCGTTAAAATCAATGATATTTCTAAATATATAATAAAAACAAAATTTATTGTATTTTTTTTGTTAACTCTTTTTATAATTTCATAAGCCCGTGGGTTAAAGATACATGGATCACATTTATATTAAAGCCCAAACAAAGATATAAATTTACAAATTAAAATATAAGACCCATACTTAAGACAATGTAATTATCATCTACCCACGCGTCTTCCGGCAAGGCATATTAAAACATGTGTTGCAATAGTGTCCTTCATACGCAAAGTCCTTTTTCCGGTGACCGTGAACTTTGTTGCCGCCTAGGCTCCTCCGCGAAGTTTCATGTATCTTTGTCTTCCTCATCTTTTACCGATCACATCTTCCTTTGATCCTCCGCCCAAACCGTCATTTATAGCCTAACTTCTTCATTTTTATAGATTCATAGGCTCTGAGAAATCTCGATTTTGATTCAAGGAAAGACTTTTTATCGGACCATCATGAAGATGCCGATTCTACTAAGTCTCCGAAGAATCACTCGGCATAAATCCAACAACACATAATCCCTTGTAGCAAGGATACCGTACTTAAACGCCAAACTAATGTCTCACAAGATGGGAGTAAAGATTGACTCCTATAAACAAGGTTTATGAGGATAACTGTAACATCCCGAGTTGTGATATATGGAAAGGCTTAAAAGGATTCATTTAGCTACCTATATCACCAAAGTGCACCTACCTTTTCGGGAGCACATCTAGAGAGAACTCTAGAGTTAAGCGTGCTTGAGCTGGAGTAGTCAAATGATGGATGACCTATCGGGAAGTGATTTGCGATACCGTATAAGTGAGGCCAAAGCACGGGGAAGGTCAAGTTGTGATTGCAAGGTCAGTAAACATGACTCTAGAACCTTGAAAATTTAACAGACCGACCATTGGAACGGGATGGGGCCCACGGGCCGAGAGCGGGCGTGGTTGCCCATTAGCCGTGGGCGGTCGGGGAGTTACAATAACCTTTGGAAGAAGAAGTCCGACTAAAAACTAAATGGGATTTAAAAGCTTTGCCAAGGAAGAGATTGGAATCGCCGATCAAAACAAAGATCGGATCTTTATTGATTCAAACCAAATCAGAAATAAGAAAGAGCTTGAAAAACAAACTGATTTGATTTGAGAAAACACTACAAAAGTCACCTAACGAAGATCTAATCGCCTAGCGAAGATGAAAGTCGATCATATGATCAAAAATTTACAACAAAAAACGAAAGTCTCTTCTCATTCTCCGTGAAAGATCGAAGTGAGAGAACGGGAAGAGGAGAGAGAAACTTTCTATTCTTTTATTTAACGAAATTTATTGTATAATTAAGACAACGTTTATATTAATAACATAAGATTCATACTACATTAATATGATAAAATTGTCAAAATAATTTTTTTTATTAAAATAAAAAGATAATTTCTATATATATTGTGTTCTTGTCCAAAAATATTTTTTAATAAAAAGCTTAAAAATTCAAAAACAAATAACACATAACTAAATATGATTAATCAAATAAAATTATTTTACTTTATATAATTGAAAAGAAAATATTTAGAAATTTCTAATACGTAATTGTTCTCAAATCCAAAGTCTAAAATAATAAAATATAATAATGATATATATTTGCTAAGTGACTTTTTCCTCTAAGCTCTCGCTTAAATTAAATTAAATTTTATATTTTATATATTTATACATGAATTACTTATAGTAAAAAAAATCTTTTTAAAATAAATAAAAAACGTTTTTGACAAAAAAATCCAGTATATTGTATTAGTATGCAAAATAATATTATTTTTCTGTAAGATTAATTTTTAATGTATATTTATCTATTCAATTTATATATTTGTTTATCGATTAAAAAGAAATTAAACATCATTTAGATTTTTCAAAGTTTAAAGGAAAAATAGAATATTTTAATTTGTGAAACAATTGTCATGTAAAACGAGTTTATATTTTTTATGTAATAATATCAAAAACTATTTTAGCCAAATTAAATTATAAGTAAAAAAAAATTAAAATTAAAATATTTTGGTTTAAAAATAATTTACATTTAGAATATAATTTAATTTATCTATGTTTTTAAAAAATAAAGAAATTATATTTTAAATATGAAATGTTATTGTTTCAAAAATATTTTAACTGTAAAATTATTTACATAAAATTGATTTAGATTTAAACATAATTTATGATATTATTAATAATAAGCTTTAGGAATATATTTTCATAATTTTATAAATTTAAATGCTCTACTAAAAATTCTGTATGAGAATATTGACCCATGAATATTTAGAGAACATTAATTTTTGATAAATGTTATTAGCGGTACTTGTTTGGTTACCGCAGCCATCTACGTCTGCGGCTGCGGCGATAATCTTGTTTTTGTTTGTACTTCCGAGGGTTTGTCTCATTGACTTGAAAAAGAGCTTGTTGCATTACCACCAAACACTTAACAGACTTGAAGGAAAAGATAAGAAGTAATTGCTTGAATATAGTTGTATGGTCTTTGTGTCTTGTCTGGTTATGGTACAGTGGGATGGTCTTGAGAACAAGATGACTGTGATTATATATGGAAGAGGAGCCATTGTTGCTGTTTGTTTATCTTCCATTCTTGTTGGTGTCATCAACTATGTTTCTCTGGTAACAATCTTAGAAGATTAAAAAACCCTTTTTGATACCAGAGAGAAGTGGAATGGTTTGACTTGAATGATGTTTGTTTGTTATGAATGTGTAGCTTCCGAAAGTTATGGAGCTTGTTGGTCTCTGGTTCACATGATGGTTTGTCCACAGATACCTTCTCTTCAAGTTAACTAACTTATCTTAATATATAGAAGCATCAATGATGTGACATGAATAAAAGTGTCTCTGTTTCTTGTTCTTTCAATCAAGTAGAAAGTAGTTGGGTGAGGAAACTGATTTCTTGAAGAAGAAGATCGCAGGCACAGAATAGATTATTTTCATAAAAATAATAAACAAGTTTTTTTCTTTGTAAATTTTCTTCTGTTATGTAATTATTATACAAAATGTCTCTGTTTCAACAATGTATCTTCAATCTCAAACTATTATATTAGATTTACTTGCATCACAACCTATATAGTATCAGGAGAGGCGAAGATGTAAATAAAGGAAAAGACTATAGTACATACATTATATCATTTGCAATTGTAGATATGATGGTTGCTTCAAACGCACGCAGCCTAAGTACTTGTTGTTTTTCATTCAATAGTAATTTGAATTATGAAATAGTTGTTGAAATAGTTAATAATTTGATTTTTCTTTTCTTATAAGACTTATTTAAGATTTATTTAGCTTTTGTTTTGTGATAAATA